TAAAATTAGTTGCATATTCTTGCAGGTACAAAATACATTCTACTACATAAGATTCATCTTCTATTACCAAAAAGACTTCAGGATCATATAATTCCCATTTACCTTTTCGAAAGATAATTCATATATGATTTAATTTTAACAAAGATACAGAGCTAATATTTCCTTAATACAGTTCACATTAAAAACTAAAAGTACATAAATAGTAGAATTCAGGAGATTAACGGTCACACATCGAGGCATGCCAGTCTTCTTCAGCAAATCTACAACATGTTGCCGAAATGACTCAACAAACGTATCACAATTTCCTACTTCTTGCTATAACCAAAGCCATATTTGTGAAGAAGATTTCTTCTAACATAAGTGGCCCGATTCGGACGGCATCTAATCCCATGTATTTTGTAACATTATAACTCTCGTAAATATATCTATCATTGCACATAGAAATTATTCGGACCCTGAATTTTATAAAACTCACATAGTATTTAACAAAAAGTGGAAGTCGGCCAGAATATCCATATGTAACAGGATTTGGTGCACCTTTACTGGTATGTAAAATATGAACTTTTTCTACACTTTCTCTCATTAAATCCCCATATTTCACTACTATATATAAGTATTGGTACAATTTTCCTGTCAAACATTTGAAATGAGTCCTTTATAGAAACATGATATATCCTAATTAGAGATATTATGTGCATTAAGGTTTTTATTCTCTTGCTCGAAAACTATATTTACACACTGTGTCCACATTATTATTGGGGTGACCATTAACCCAAGGTACTTATAAGAACTAAAATCATCAAGACGTTATAATTATTTTAACTCCATTTTTCAAACAGCGAAATATGGCCACAATTATCTTTGAATTGGAAATATTGATCTCCATTCCCCATTTATAAGAATACTCTGATAGAAGATTTAAACGCTTTTGTAATTTGATAGCAGTATCTATACCAATATAAGGTCATCGGCAAATAACACTGCAATTATATTCAACATATATTCAGATACAAAAATACCATCATCCAATGTATTATTAGCTAGTTCAACAAATTCATTAATCAATAATGAGAACAATAGAGGGTTGAGTGTACATCCTTGACGAACTCCAGCTGTACATGAAACATAATCTAACAATTTACTACCCCCACCAATGATAACTGCATATTTAACATGTTCATACATACTTTTAGCATGTTTATAGAAATAGCCATGTATACCCATTCTTTATATGCACAAATAATAACATTTCTATTTACCATAAGAAATGCTTCTATTTTTATAATCAATGAATAAAGTTTCCCTTTCTTACGTGTAGCCGGATACTTCTGTACAAGAGCTTGCAAAATAAATATATCATTAATAGTGGTTCTCCAATAAGTTGTCTTGATTCTGCAAATTTATCTAGTCTTTTATTAAAAATACATTCAAAGATCTTACCAAGCGTATTTAGTAGAGATGAGTGAAAGGCGACTATGCTTGTCGCGTAAGAGGCGACTAACGGGATTGGGTGGCCAGGCTCGCTGATTTGGTTGATGCATGTCATCGTATCCCAATTGCGTGGATCGATGTTTATGATGTTAATCATCGGATTGTCTGGTCCAGACTCGATTTTTTACAGACCACCGTCATACAGCTGCAATATTGCTGAGTGCGCCGTTAAGCAACTTGAAACTGAAACTGAAACAGGTAGAGATATGCCTCTGTTGTTATGACGACCATCCTTTTTACCTTTCTCATTTATAGTTGTTAAAATAATCACGCTTTCGGAAAGTAACATTGATAAAGTATCTTATTATGCAATAAATATAAATGGGGTAACACTACAGACTTAATACATTTGACCAATTCATCTGGTGTCCTATCATCTCCTGGGGATTAACTTAAGACTGTAAATTGCTGTTAATATTTCTTACTCAGTTATAACATCTGAAAGGGAACTGTCGTCTGTTTCACAAAATTCATATTTCTTGAAATTTTTTTTTTACTGTCAAGTTATATTCCTTATCGACGGAGAGGCTTGTTTTGACTTTATAAGTACTAGCACACGTGCATCTATCTTCGTTAATTAATCATCGCGATATTTGGCGATTCTGTTTCAAGTGGCGAGGACTACAGACCTACCAAGAAGTCCATATTCAACCCTAATTCTGCTGTGAATGTAAGTTAAAATTTACATTTCATGATAAAAACGTGTAACATTGGTATGCAATGTCAAAATACCTCTGAATTTAGGAAAATTAAAGATAAATAGTATTGAACAAATCATCTTCTCCAATTTGCCCACCAAAAGCACTTAGTCTGGAATCCTAGGTACAAATCCCTGGTCACACTGAAAAAAAGTTGGATTAAATGTCTATGTATATCGGTATGTGACAAATCTATCTAGCACAACAGTCATAAAAACCTAGCGGGTCCAAGATAAAGTCAGGACCTGTAGCCCAGACCAAAGAAACCCGTGATGGCCAAATTATCTGAACTGAGGAATTGAAGTCCGTTCAATCAATTAACTTTCATTGAAAAATAGATACAACACAAATTTTTAGTATTATTATTTACAGATTAAAATAAAAAATGCAGCAAAGAGGGTTTGGGTGATCCTGGCACAGTCAAGCTGGTTAGGCTCATCCACACTCCGTCGCAGTGGTGACTCAGCATAACACCACTGCCACAGGCTAATTTGCATATCACGTGACCGGACTTTTCTCTTGTTTGTAAACAAACGCGCTTTTTCAGAAATCAGTATAGAACGGACTAATGCAAGCATTTGGGGGCGCTTTACATATTGTTTTGCATAACTATATAGATATGCTACTACAAATGCGACAGTGAGTTGCATGACAATATATATTTATGCATCAAAGTGACCGTGTCGCTAGCTCTCCGTTGGGCTTCGATGACAGCACGTGGAGCCGTACAACCAATGTAAACATAGGATAACTACGCAAAAACAAGTAGATTTTTACGTATTTGCATACTTTCTCAATGAAAGTTAACGATTCTTTGACATTTGTTTATGAAAATGTGTAGACTTGTCAAACATGAAACGGATGAAAAGCATATGCAATATCTTGAATGAACTGTGAAAGATGTGACGAATCGTCACATGGCGCTGGCCTGTGGCAGAGGTACTATGCTAGCTGGCTGCCGGCCGCATGGAACTCTGGGTAGGAGAGTGAGGCTCATCATCAGCTCAGGGTCATTGCCCCCTCTACACGCAGCCCAGACAGCGAATGGGACTTCTCACTCAGAACTTTTCGGAGAATGTGAAGACTCCCCAACACTGCAACCTTCTGCAGTACCCAGATTGTCAGAAGGTCTGCAATTCCTGGTAGCAAACCCGGGTACTCTGTCAGTCAACAGATTGGTAGGTACCAAACCTAAGGCACCGAGAACAATGGGGAGTCTGACAACTTGGTACTTGGGATGCAAGCGTGACATTTCGAATACGAGGTCCGCATATTTGCCATGTTTTTCCTCAATCTTGTCGATCACATTAGTGTCAAAAGGGAAAGAAATATCTATAATATAAATGATTTCATTGGAGATATCAATAAGGACAAGATCAGGTGTGTTGGCCTGGATACGTCTCAGGCTGTAGAGGGGCCCATTCCAAAGAATTTTGTATTTATCATTTTCCATGACGCCCTCTACATATTCTGGGTCGTACCATGGATGGACCTTTGTGTCAAAACCACAAGCATGGCGAAGACAGTAATAAACTGATCGAGCTACACCATCATGTCACTCAAGATACTGTGTTTGTGCCAAAGCTTGGCATCCACTGACAATGTGTTGGACAGTCTCATTAAATTAATTGCATAATCTACATTTCATATTTACATTTTGATACAAAATCACACATTGACGGTTTCGGGTTGGAAGTGACCGGTCCTGAGCAACAAACTGAAAGCCTTATGTTTCACTTTTCAGGCCAGTCGACTTCATCCAAGCGAAGGACTCTGCCGGGTTGCTGATCTTCTCCACACACTGCACGTAAACTCGATGCAGTGGTCGCCCAGATAGCCTCTCCTTTAAAAACTGGGCCGATTTGATATGGCACTTCGCTTGGTTGACACTCACTTCTGAACCGTCCAGCAGTACAGAACCATCAACAAAATCAACACTGACATCGAGATTATGTCCCACAGACTGCCGTCATATAGCTGGAATATTGCTGAGTGCGGCGTTAAACAACAAACAAACGCCGATTCGCATTTCTCTCAAATCTCATACTTTGTTCAGCATTCCTTTTCACTGCCGCCCGGTCCCGTTCCAAAAATAGCAATCTTTGGTGCGAAGACGATCGTGACTCCATGTCACATAGACTTACACTATTCTTGCGAAAACATCCATTTGTAGAGCAAGACCCTTTTTTTTTATCTTCGTAGACAACAATTACTTCTATGTTCAAGGCCCTTGTAAGGGTGTCGGTAGTTGTGTCAACAGCTGTAGTAGACACTCTTTAGTCACACAGGGCAATTCAGTTGCCCTCCTTTAAACCGTTATTTTCCTTTTAAATTAAAAGGCTCAATGTATTTCTTTTATAATCAATTGATCTGAAAAATGTATAACTTGTGGTAAGGACATACGGATATTTTATTATACGTACATAGTAGACTATATATCTCTCTTTATATGCATATATTGTTTATAATTATGACATTATCATCTCTGTAGAGCAACGTTTATAATAAACACTTTTTGGCTGAAAGGAGCAAAATTTGCCCCGAAACACCTGTGACAACAGACGCCTTTAAAAAATACAAAAGAATATAAAAGTTGTTGATAGGAATATAGCAGTATCAGTGCCTCCACAACCTTTTGGAACCTGAAAATTCCACTCATGGAAGAAGAAGGTGACTCATAAAAAGAAGTATTATCATAATTTTGTTTCACAAGCTATGAGGCACGCGTAACAAATATTTATTGCAGCCCGTGCATTTTTATTATATAACTGCGAGGAAGCACTTGCTGTCACGTGACCCGGAAGTAGTTACTGAAGCTTTCCGAGGTTGTTTATGTTTACGAGGTGACGGTCGGATGCATCAAACTGCGCTATCGACAAATCAAGCTCACGGATATGTTCTGATATGTCACTACCCACATATAATGTAATGTATGTCGTAACGAATTTGTTGACTAGATCGAGTCGATTGTGAGCTATCTGATTTAGATCACTGCTTCGGGAGTTGATTTCTGTAGGCGGCCGTGACTGTTTAACACTGACATCGGTCTGGGATACCTTAAATGCGCTGATACCGATCTTTCTGTTTTACCCCAATGGGTATATATCTCATTCCCTAATGGGAAGAAAACAACATGCAATTAGTGCTTGATTTTGGAAACGTAAATGAGGCTTTCAGATATTTTAAAACCAACACTTTAACACTGGCTTTTATAAGGTCATGCACAAACACGGATCGGTGTATCATAACCTGACCAGAGACCATATACCGATTTGGTCTCTGACCTGACAGTACATGATCAGTCTGTAATATATATAAGTTGTTGGCAACACTTCTGTTTAACAGCCATAGCTTATAGTCTTGATTGCTCTAGCTCCCTCTTCAACCCTAATAGGTTTAGCTGGTTGTTGCATGGGGTGGGATGGGGTACTCTGGTCGGGTGGGTCCTGAGTAGGACCCGGGTACCCACAGGACTACCCGGACCTGTAGTTAGTCACATGATATATTGTTTAAGGACAAAACATTTCTGGAACTCCATAGTTACACTACAAGTCACTGGTCGCAGTCCTCTCTGACTATGCACACATTCCATCTGACTTTTATTTGTTTGAATAAAGATTAGACTTCAGTCAACCTCTAGGTATGCATGACCAGATCGTTTTATACATGTATCTAAATACATTTTGTCCAGGGCTATGGTCAAACTATTCTCAATCGGACAATTGGTAACCATCTCTTGAGACCTACAGCGGATACCCAGTAGGGTCGGGTAATAGAGGGGTGGGTACCAGGGTAGTAAATTTGGACTTGTCCCAACCCTAGCTGGTTGTGTTACTGTAAGGGTGAGGGTAGGTTACCCCAAATTCTATCTTGAGCCCTTGGACCTGCTTTCCAATCAAACCCCCTTCACGGTCCCTAGGGCTAAGTACCCCATGCCATTACAACACCCTATTACAAGCTTTATGGTTAGTTGTGAGTTTCAGTTAGCTATCTCACTTCAGTGAACACAAATAATATACCGTATTCGACGTAATATGTGCCAAGGGCGCTCTCAAAATTAGAAATAGGGGGCTCTTATTAAAATATTATTTTGGAGAAAAATAACCAGAGTTGAGAGATTAAATCTCGTGGTTTATGCTGACAGCCTGAAATGTTTATGTACGGCAGATATATTTTTCCAGAATTTAATTGCCCATAATTAATGGTGCATATAACACAGGAGTGCATATTATATGCGAATGAATAAGTCTTGTTTACATTGATCAATCGGAAGGGGTGCTCATTGGGATTGTTCACGTGCCAATATATTAGCAAATATCGCCGTGGGCGCTTATTACGTCGAATAGGGTATGTAATTTGAGCTAAATCCATACAACCTTTATCATGCTTCACTTTTACGCGGGAGAAAATGGGTACCACGTTTGTACTTCAAGGTAAACAATCGGGTGCTAATCACTAAGTAAACAAGCACTAATTATTTGCCATGGTCCCGTTTGTAAAGTGTGAGGTAATTCGATTGTTTCATTTATAGCATAGCTTCAGTCTGGCAATGGCAGCACTAATTGAAATAAATACAAAAAAGTGAAAATAGCTGTACTCCCGAATTGTGATATATTCAGTTGCAGTAAATTGTCTCTGTAATACACGGTTATGGTGTACTCACATTCAAAGCAATATTTTGAGGTAAACATTTTTTTGAGAAACTTGTTGGTTTAAAGTGAATATTTATACTTCTCAAGTGAAACATCGCACACTAGTTATTATACGCTGATTGTTAAATGAGATATTAGCTGCCGGTTATTGGTTATTCAGTTGTGATAGTATCGCTGAATTGTGACCCAAAGTGACCTCTGTGCCATGATGGTGAAGTGTTCTAAGAAACCCCATAAATCTTACAATGTGTTTCATTTTTGTTGTAGCAAATCAGGGAATATGAGTTGTAATTCATACATTAATTCTGGTTTATCCAAAGTGATTAGTAACAGTGAGATATTCTGGTGTTTGTTGGGGCAGTCGGGTAGCTTTGTGGTTAAAGCATTTCCTCGTCATGATCTGGGTTTGATTCCCGACATGGGTACAATGTGTGAAGCCCATTTCTGGTGTCCCCCTGCCGTGATATTGCTGGAATATTGCTAAAAGCAGCATAAAATCAAACTCACTCACTCACGCATGAGTTTGTTGATTTTGATCTTAAGGTGTACATGTCTATTGTCATGTCTTCCCTTACTGTATTTCAGATCCTGAAATAGAATGGGCAAAGAAATTAAGATCATTACCATGACATCAAGGGAAACAGATTCGAGAGAAAGTGACCAAAATTATTCATGCATAGAATATGAACTGACCCAACATGTCAATAGCATGCACAGCAGAAGAAAATATCCAACTCAAGTCCTACTTTTGAATTGGTGTCATTGTTTCATTTCAAGGGCCTAGCAAGAATTAAAAATGTCTACTACTACAGTGAAAACTGACACAATGAGCAAGGTGCTGCCAGGAGACAAGAGTGGTCTCCCATGGGAAATATGGCAGATGATACTTTCATATCTTAACGCTGCTGAACTGTGTCGAGGGTGCTGTGTGAGTAAGACCTGGAATGATCTTATCCTTAGTTTAGATGGATCAAGATGGAAGGAACTGTACCTCAAGTGTGAAGACTGGAAGCATCCTTTCTGGCCACTGAACATTCATTCCGAGCCGCCATCTTGGAAACAAGCTTATCATGACCAGTACCTGTCAACAAGGCAATGGTCACAGTGCTCACGAGATCTCAGTCACAGCAGCTGTCTATATGTTCTTAAACGGAAAAAAGATAGAAAAATTATTCGAGTTGGACGTGGGAAAGAGCATTCTTCTTTAAAAAGTGCTCTTTCTGTGGCCAATGACTTTGATCGAATAGAGGTGTATCCTGGTATCTATGATGAACAGTTTGAGATGACATCCAAAATTCCCTTTGAGTTGGTAGGCGTGGGAGAACTTGGCAGCGTTATCCTTGTGGTGTGTATAGAACAAGTTGCCATGACAGGACGTCTGAGCAATCTTGTGTTGAGAGCACCGTGGTTCACAACATTTATTCTCAAGGTAAGAATGTAATTGATGTCGCCCGACCTCGTTGATCTTTGGATTGATCAAAAGTCATGAAAAGTTCATGCTGATGGTAATTAATCAACTTTAACGCCTAGTAGACATGGTACAATAATGATTTCCATGGCATGCATATTTGGTATCAATCTCATTAAAATCAGATCTTAGTCCTCGCTATCACTATACAAAGATCTGAGAACATCCCATTACGGGTCATTTCAGAACGACCTTTCATCTGACCAATCAAAGCGTCGCTTACCAGATCATGAAAGTGACAATCGGAATGTGTTTTCCAATCATCGATTCATGCAACCTCGAAAACGTTAACACAGGGTATTCTGAATGACAGTTACGGCCCGTAGGACTGATTCTGTCAACATTATCGTCTATCTCTCGCTTCCGTGGGATAAACATTTGAACGGAGGAGGCGTTGCACAGTATGTGGGAAGCACTGCCATACAATGTCAACCATATATTAGACATTCTGGAATGGTTGTTTGTTCAGTTTTCAAAATTTTGATCAAGAACTATGTCAAGATATTTTTCAAGCGTAGTCTGAAATGGAAGTCGCCAGGTTGAAACGAGTGCCGTAAAGCTTGAGAAAGCTGCTTTCTAATTGGCTGATGTCGACTTCTTGTTAGTCATTTCAGTGGTCAGTCAAAGTTCGCGAAAGGTCGTTCTGACGTGACCCGTAATGGGATGTCCTCAGATCTTTGTTTAGCGGTAGCAAGAACTAAGATCTGATTTTAATGAGATTGATTTGGTTTTATTTGCAATTTGTAAGTAAAACACTTAACTTTTTAAGTAATTTGTTGTATCGACTGTACTGTAGAAATCTGGTGAATCACATGAGTGCAAATATTTTTCCATACTGGTTCCATTTTACATCTTGACAAAAATACATGGCATGAACAGATATGATGAATACATTGAAATTGTAAGACAGACCATGTTGTACTAAAAAAAGGGAGAAAACTCTCAAAAGTACAGATAACTCTAGTGAAGAGCCACACAAAGGCAAACCACTCATCAAAAAGGGAATTGACCTGTGAAGATCAGGGTTAGAATAGGTCTTCAGCAACCCATGTTTGCCGTAAGAGGCAACTTACGGGATCGGTGGTCAGGCACGCTGACTTGGTTGATGATACATGTCATCGTATCCCAATTGCGTGGATCGATGCTCATGATGTCAATCACTGGATTGTCTGGTCCAGACTCGATTATTTACAGACTGCCGCCATATAGCTGGAATATTGCTGAGTGCGGCATTAAACAACAAACAAACCAACCAAAAGGGAATCAACAATGTCAATACCCACATTAATGGGTCCCTCAAATAAATGTGCACATGAGTAATCCCTTATACTTAAACCATTAAAAACTGAGGAATTAGTGGTCTTAAAATCTCCAGTTACAGAAATTTGTGGGGATGCAGCATCCATCATTATTCCATCTTATTAATTTATACAGCTTTGAGTATGCTTTTAGTTTTGATTTAGATGGTACAAATTAAGAAAAGAAACATTCCCATACTTTATTATGGTTACCGTATTCGACCTTATAAACGCCCAGGGCGCTTTCAAAATTAGAAATAGTGGGCTCTTATTAGAATAAAGTTTAGGTGAGTTGAAAGAACGTAAATTCCGTGGTTAATGCTGACAGCCTGAATGATACAAGAGAAAAGTCTGTGTGTATTATACACGACAGATATATTTTTCCAGAATGTAATTGCCCATAATTAAGGGTGCATATAACACACGAATGCGTATTATACACGAATAAATAAGTCTTGTGTACATTAATCAATCGGAAGGGGTGCTAATTGGGATTGTTCACTAGCCATGCAAGATATTAGCAAATATCGCTGTGTGCGCTTATTAGAGCAGGGCGCTTATTATGTCGAATACAGTACTTTTATTCATCAACATTTGAATAGATGATGAAAAATTTGACTTGTGTCAACCATTAGCTGTGTCATCATGTTGACTGCTTTGCTTTTAGATTCGTGCTGGTTACCTGCAGTTGGACAACTGCATATTGGAGGACGGTATGGTGTACGCACAGAACCCAGGGACATGTCACATCAGATTCTGCACATTCCGCCATGCCACCATAATTCTACAACATATGAATGTTAGTGTTATTGAAAACTGTGAGTTTTCACAGAGTGACACAGCAGACATCATTGTTGAGGGATATTCAAAGGATGAGAAAAACTGGACTTACTCATATCTGCGATCACGCATGAATTCAATATTTTCACAGAATCGGCGTCAAAGGAGACAATCACTCATTACCATGAAAACTAGCGAGTCGCATGCATCAACCATGCATTCCATGACAGCATCTTCAGCACATCTGGCCAATCACAGTTCAGACTCAGCATCCCATGATCATAATGACCAATCAGGAACATCATGTAGTGATTCGCTGGAACCATCCCACCACATTCCTTGCCCAAGGCTTGTCAGTGATGGGGCTGATGTACCCAACATTATTGACAATCAAAACTCATCCAATACTCAAGGGTTTGCCTTTCATCAACATGAATCCATTTCAAACTCTAATCATTCCAATGCCAACTTACAGGCAACAGCAGAAGTTGTGATGCAAGATCCCATCCAAAATCAGAATGAGGCTGCAAGTGTTCATGTAGAGGCTGCAGCCAATGGAAATGAGGCTAGGGGACATGAAAATGAGGCTCGAGAAGGGGCAGGTAATGCAGAGGCGGCAGCTATACAAGTACCACATTTAGATTTGAATGAAGGCAACAATGAAAATGAGCCACGCCCAGACAGCGGGAGGAGTCTTCACTCAAGATTGTCATTTGACAGTGAGGACAGCTTGTCTTTCCTTGATGACCTTGACTCTGCAAGATCAAGTTCACCAGGTGAGGTCACCTGATGCTGATTGAAACTTTCATAGTAAACTGTGGTAAACATCTTGAACTTCGAAAAACTGTATATGTGTATTTGGTGACGATCATGATTTTGCTAATTTGGTTGAGATTATTAATGTAAATACAAACTAACGAAAATGAATTATCATACTTTTTATCCTGAGAAATTTATGTTTCTGGCATAAGTATGTCCTGTCAATGATACAGATATGGGGTGGTGTCCCTTTAATGTAACCATTTTCCCAATTTGCCTGGCAAGGGCAGTTCGTTCAGTGACTCCTAAATAAATCCCTGCATGTACTGTTTCCAACAAATGACAAATAATGTAGTGCAGCTATTTTCTCTTAACTTTGACGTCACGGCATTGCAACCTTGTTGAGTAGCATCATTACACTGTATTGCTTCATCAGTGAATGTCTCTGCATGTTGGAAACTGAGTAAATTCGTAATTAAAATGTTTTTATTGATTTGGGAAATAGCTTTGAGTAGGTTATGTAGTTATGGTACAAAAGGTCAATTTTTTACCTTTGCATGGACAAGGATAGATGTTATATACAGTAAACTATATTTATAACGGACACCATTATAACAAACTGACAGATATAACGAACTGTCTTTTGGTCCCGGCGATTTGCTGTATATATGCTCTATTTATGCTTCTAGCAAACTACAGATATATCAAACTCAAATAAGTTATCCATTTAAGTTTGTTATAACCGTTGTTTACAGTACATACATGGACAATGTCAGATGTTATATACACATGGACAAGGATAGATGCTATATATATACATGGACAAGGAAAGATGTTATATACTCACAGGGATAATGACAGATGTTATACACATACATGGACAATGTCAGATGTTATATACACATGGACAAGGATAGATGCTATATACATACATGGACAAGGAAAGATGTTATATACACACAGGGATAATGACAGATGATATACACATACATGGACAATAACAGATGTTATATACACATGGACAAGGATAGATGCTATATACATACATAGACAAGGAAAGATGTTATATACACACAGGGATAATGACATGTTATACACATACATGGACAATGTCAGATGTTATATACACATGGACAAGGATAGATGCTATATACATACATGGACAAGGAAAGATGTTATATACACACAGGGATAATGACAGATGATATACACATACATGGACAATAACAGATGTTATATACACATGGACAAGGATAGATGCTATATACATACATGGACAAGGAAAGATGTTATATACACACAGGGATAATGACAGATGTTATACACATACATGGACAATGTCAGATGTTATATACACATGGACAAGGATAGATGCTATATACATACATGGACAAGGAAAGATGTTATATACACACAGGGATAATGACAGATGTTATACACATACATGGACAATGTCAGATGTTATATACACATGGACAAGGATAGATGCTATATACATACATGGACAAGGAAAGATGTTATATACTCACAGGGATAATGACAGATGTTATACACATACATGGACAATGTCAGATGTTATATACACATGGACAAGGATAGATGTTATATACATACATGGACAAGGAAAGATGTTATATACACACATGGATAGTGACAGATGTTATATAGACACATGGACAATAATAGATGTTATATACACACAGGGATAGTGACATGTTATACACATACATGGACAATGTCAGATGTTATATACACATGGACAAGGAAAGATGTTATATACACACATGGATAGTGACAGATGTTATATAGAGACATGGACAATAATAGATGTTATATAAACACATGGATAGTGACAGATGTTATACACATACATGGACAATGTCAGATGTTATATATACATGGACAAGGATAGATGCTATATATATACATGGACAAGGAAAGATGTTATATACACATGGACAAGGATAGATGTTATATATATACATGGACAAGGAAAGATGTTATATACACACAGGGATAATGACAGATGTTATACACATACATGGACAATGTCAGATGTTATATACACATGGACAAGGATAGATGTTATATAAACACATGGATTTTGACAGATGTTATATACACACATGTATAATGATTGATGTTATAGATGTATTGCAGGGGGTCAAAGATGTATTGCAGGGAGTCATATATGTATTGCAGGGAGTCATAGATGTATTGCAGAGGGTCATAGATGTATTGCAGGGAGTCATAGATGTATTGCAGGGAGTCATAGATATATTGCAGAGGGTCATAGATGTATTGCAGAGGCTCAGATGTATTGCAGAGAGTCATAGATGTATTGCAGAGGGTCATAGATGTATTGCAGGGAGTCATAGATGTATTGCAGAGGATCATAGATGTATTACAGAGGGTCATAGATGTATTGCAGGGAGTCATAGATGTATTGCAGAGGGTCATAGATGTATTACAGAGGGTCATAGATGTATTGCAGAGGGTCATAGATGTATTGCAGGGAGTCATAGATGTATTGCAGAGGGTCATAGATGTATTACAGAGGGTCATAGATGTATTACAGAGGGTCATGGATGTATTACAGAGGGTCATAGATGTATTGCAGGGAGTCATAGATGTATTGCAGAGGGTCATAGATGTATTACAGAGGGTCATGGATGTATTGCAGGGAGTCATAGATGTATTGCAGAGGTCATAGATGTATTACAGAGGGTCATAGATGTATTGCAGAGGGTCATAGATGTATTGCAGGGGGTCATATTCACTGGCATCTAGTGGTCTAAGTCCAGCTTTTATTGTTATTAATGTTAATATAGCAGTATATTTCAAAAGAGAGCAGTGGGGTAGCCTAGTCGTTGAAGCTTGCCATGAGAAAGGCCTGGGTTTGATTCCCTAATTATCCCCCGCCGCGCGAAAGCGCGAAGTGGGGGATATAGTATTCACGACCGTCCGTACGTCCGTCCGTCCGTACGTCCGTCCGTACGTCCCACCTGTTTGTTGCCGTGATATCTCAAGAACTAAACACTGGATTGTCTTCATATTTGGAACTATGGTGTATATACAGACTCCGCAGACACCAGTCAGTTTTGGTGACCTTGACCCCATTTTAAAGGTCACAGCAGGCATATCTGCTTTTGGAGTTGGAAAACAGTGTTGCCGCGATATCTCAAGAACTAAACACTGGATTGTCTTCATATTTGGAACTATGGTGTATATACAGACTCCGCAGACACCAGTCGGTTTTGGTGACCTTGACCCCATTTTCAAGGTCACAGCAGGCAAATCTGCTTTTGGAGTTGGAAAACGGTGTTGCCGCGATATCTCAAGAACTAAACACTGGATTGTCTTCATATTTGGAACTATAGTGTATATACAGACTCCGCAGACACCAGTCAGTTTTGGTGACCTTGATCCCATTTTCAAGGTCACAGCAGGCAAATCTGCTTTTAGAGTTGGAAAACGGTGTTGCCGCGATATCTCAAGAACTAAACCTCTCGATTGTCTTCATATTTGGAACTATGGTGTATATACAGACACCACAGACACCAGTCGGTTTTAGTGACCTTGACCCCATTTTCAAGGTCACAGCAGGCAAATCTGCTTTTGGAGTTAGAAAACGGTGTTGCCGCGATATCTCAAGAACTAATCGCTGGATTGTCTTCATATTTGGAACTATAGTGTATATACAGACACCGCATACACCTGTCAGATTTGGTGACCTTGACCCCATTTTCAAGGTCACAGCAGGCAAATCTGTTTTTGGAGTTGGAAAACGGTGTTGCCACAATATCTCAAGAACTAATCGCTGGATTGTCTTCATATTTGGTACTATGGTGTATATGGTGGGGGATATTTCGTCACTCTGTGACAAATACTTGTTTCTTTTGTCCTCGCTGTGAGTTTGCAGGAATATTGTAAAAAGTGACATTAAACATTACTCCCTCACTCACTCCCTCTATCACCTATTCAGTGATTTCGAAAGATAGTATCTCTTGTAATATCAAATACTTACTACTATTAAGTATAAGACGCACCACAGCCCTGACACAATGAGAAGGTTTGTTGTGTATTTTCAATACAGTGTCAAACACGCAGAACCCTGACTGTAAAGATGAATGAATCACATTGAATATTCCTCGTAACAGGGTTTTAACACATGACCTGCAGTAAAGAGCCTTTAATTATAAATCAAAATCAGTAACTTTCTGAGTGGTTAGTGGCTTGCCTGGCTATAAATGGGAAATATAAAATGTAGCTTTTGTTTTTGTCAGTCTTGTATGTTCCTTTAATTTTTAACACAAACAGAGTAAGGGAAGAATTTGGCAGAATATTGATATTTATCAAGCTTGTAGGTGTGAAAATGTGACAATACTAATATGCATGTGAAGTTTTGTATTTGACACATTTCTGCAGGACATGTGTTTTTTTAAAATTTTCACCAGACTTTTTGACTACCTGAGAAATTATGTTTATTGAACCTTGCGGTGAGCCACAGTTTGACAGCATTTTCATCTCTGGTAGATGTTGGTCGTCCTGGCAGCACCAGCAGCAGCAGTGATGATGACGAGGACATTGAGAGAATCGTGCACACAGACTCAGACGATGACCTGTCATCAGGGGAGGAGTCCGTCATTATGCTGCCTCACCTGCGACAGAAACACATCCAAGCATCAATATCTGCTCAAGGTGTCAATGCCGACATCGTGTCCATCAGTAGCCAGACCTCACAACCTATTCCAACTGATGTCATTCAGGACAGCCTCATGCGGTCTGTCGTGGATCAGGTTCAGGGTAAGTGCTGTGTAGGGGGTGGCTTGATATACCATGACATCATATAATTTGTAATGTAATTTCTTTCTTCACAGTATGATGTCTCACCATGCACTATTTCAGGTAACATTTAATGTCTTGATGTGACAAAGGATAACGGAAGCTTATATTTTCCCCAAATCACTTTTTTAATGTTTTATTTTATGATTGGAGCTGAATGAGACAAATAGCTTGGATAAATTGCATTGAAAATATTACTTGAACTCCCCACGAAACTGGAACATTTCCGCTACATTTCAAGATAAAATGAACACAAGTAAACAATTTTATGAGTCGCTGCCTTCTGGGTTTTGTAAAAGTAGGAAATGTCTCACGCCCCCCAATCTCATTAAAATCAGATCTTAGTTATCGCTAAACAAAGATCTGAGGACATCCCATTAAGGGTCACGTCAGAGCGACCTTTCATCCAACCAATCAGAGCATCGCTTACCAGATCATGAAAGTGACAGTCAGAATGTGTTTTTTAATTATGCAACCACAAAATATTTAACACGGGGTATTCCGAACGACTGTTACAGGTTTTATGAATATATCCATACAATCTAGACCATCTATAAGCCATTCCAGAATGTTCTTCTTATCAGTTTTAATTTTTTTAATTGAGAATCCGTCAAAATATGTTTCGAAGCGTAGTCGCCAGTTTGAAACTTGTGTCGTAAAGCTCGAGAAAGCTGCCTTCTGATTGGCTAATGTCTATTTCTTGTCAGTCATTTCATTGGTCGGTCAAAATTCGCGTAAGGTTCTGACGTGACCCGTAATGGGATGTCCTCAGATCTTTGTTTAGCGGGAGCGAGAACTGAGATCTGATTTTAATGAGATTGCTCACGCCCCCTACCAATAGTTGAGTTGTACACTTCATTTATCTTCTGTGTTCAGAAGTAACCCCTGTCCAGTGTTTATTTCTTGCCAGATTGTAGATTTAGTTGCCCCCTGTTTATCTGTTCCAGGTTGTCTCATCCATCAGTGCCGCATGATCCACTCGAAGGGTGGAGTCATGGTCAGTCTCCAGGCACACGCCATCGTGTCCGAGTGTGACATCTGCAACGTTGGCTACGGCATCCGATGTATACAGAACTCCAGGGTATGTTGTAGGGCTAGGACGGGTAACTTGGGTACTCGGGTCGGGTGGGTCCTAAGTAGGCTATACCTGCATGGACAAGTGGTCAGTCACGTGACATATTGTTTAATGACAAAAATTCACTAGGGCTCAGTGGTTACACTACAGGCCGCTAATGTTAGCAATTCTTTCTGACGATGCACACATTCCTTTTGACTTGTATATGTTTGAGTAATGATAAAGCTTCAGTCAACTTCAATGTACGCATGATCTGATCGTTTGATTCATGTATCTTAATAGTTTTTGCAAAGGTTGTGATCAGACAATTCAAAATCAGACATTTTGTTCCCAAGTCTTGAGACCTACTGTGGGTCGTCCAAGCCCTAGTTTGTTGACAGTATTAATGCGTTTTGTCGTCAGTTGAGGTACTGTGGTGTCTTTTAATGGTTCCTTTCTTCTTTGATTACAGTAGACCTTCTGATGTATTAGGTGAGATGAGGGGAAATGGGGTTTTAACATGCATACCCCACTCAGACACATTTTTCTGACTTTGAATCCTTGTTTTGTCCCCTTAGTGTTAAGCGCCAGGCAGGGTAGGAAAAGTAACATCTTTTCACGTCTTTTGATGTGATGGTGCCAGGGTCACATGTATTAGGTTTCTTTTCAGACGTCTATGAGTTTGATGATTTGAACTAGCCAGTAATGATGATTGATCCATGTTTTTGCCAGGTGGTGGTTCTGAAGAACAAGATCCACCATTGTCGGACATCAGGGGTCTTCATGAGACTCGCTGCTTCAGGACTGATAGCAGGTGAGAGGGATGGCAGGAATGTGGTGTGAATGAGTTCAGCAAACAGGTGGTTGATAGGGCTTAAAAAAATATAAGAATTGGTTCTCAGTCAATTAATGAGGGAGTGTTGTTTTTGTTGTTGCTTGTTCAAATTAGTATGTAACCAAATGAACAGTTACGTACCGTCAACCTGGGAAAGGGCCTCCCTACATAAACAAACTTACAAACTCCTATTGCTGCCATGACCATAACACGAGATGTGCAGCAAAGCAGTGCGCATGTAAATTAAAATAAAAACAAAACGTGCAGCAGATTTTCTGATGATGCGGGCGGTGCCTGAGAACCAAGACTACTATTTGTTTAACAATCCACATGATGTCACACAGTCAAGTAGCACATTGTAACTACCAGATCCTTCTCATCAGTCTGCTCTAATGACAAGGGTTGGGTGCATCTTCTATTAAGTGATGTCCCTCAGTGATTGCAAGTTTGAGATTGTGACTTCACATGCTTTGATGTAAGATTTCTTAAGTCTCATTAAAGTGCACCTCTCACAAAAATGACAGAATGAGCAATCTCGAATTTTATGGCCAATCACAACACTATTCGTGAACCTCCTTGTGTGTTTTAGGCAATGACATACATTCCAACATGGAGGCTGGGATAGACATTCGGAAGAATGCTGACCCTATTGTACAGGTAAGTAGTATCTATGCTCCTCAGAGCTCCAGATAAGCTGCGTATCTGCGTAAAATACGCATAAGAAATGCAGAAATACGCAGTAAAATAAAATCCAAGCGTATCAAATACACAACGAACATTACAGATACGCTACAAAAATTAATTAACCCTATTCCTGATTATGCCAGGGGCTGTGACTGACATATTTGTCTGGACTAGGGCTGGGACGGGTAACTCGGGTACTGAGAAGGACCCGGGTACCCACACGACTTCCCGGACCAGTGGTTAGTCATGTGATATATTGTTAAATCACAAAAATGATCTGAAACTATATGGTTACACTGCAAGTCACTAATGTTCTCATTTCTTTCTGACGATGCAAGCATTCCGTCTGATTTACATCTATTTGAATAAAGATGAAACTTCAGTCATCTTCAGTGTGTGCATGATCAGATCGTTTTATACGTGTATCTAAATACATTTTGTCCAGGGCTACAGTCAAACTATTCCCAATCTGGCATTTTGTACCTATCTCTTGAGACTTACTGCAGGTATCCGAGTAGGGTCGGGTAATACTAATAGGGAGGTAAATTTGGTCTCATCCCAGCCCTTGTCTGGATATCTCTTCCAACTGTTGCACTGATGGTGTAAAGCTCAACAAAGGAGTGCAGTCATACTAGTTATCTTAGTGCTTTGATGGGACGTAGACACAGCCCTAACTCAAATCTACAGGTAAATATTCTGATAAATAAGCTTGCCAGTGAATTAGAATGACAAAAGGAACATAAACATTAGATGATTTTGAAGCTTTTAAACATAGTTTTCCGCCTTTTTTAACATCATGATCAACTTGTGGGAAAAAAAGAAAAGAAAGGAGACATTTCAAATAAATAAACCATATCAAACATAGGTCCAGGTGTGCAATATACATTTTCTATAAACAGATAGTGTAATACCGTATTTTCTTGAGTATAGTGCGCACCCATGTATAATGCGCACCCCCCTCTAGCGGGTTCAATATTTTGGAAAAAAAGAAATTTGAATATTATGCGCAGAAATTTTTTACACCGTACCCTTTCAGCGAAGTCCGGCAAACGAACGGGTGCTGAGAAACTTCGTCAGTACAAATTCGAAATTTGAGATAAAAAATCACCAGACATGTTTATTTACCGTTTAAATAGTATTTATTGTTCTGCTAGGCATTGTTTTATATTTAGGGATTAAGATTACCTTGCGTATTTTCTCGTAACTAAGCTGGAAACAGCAATCAGCTGTACACACGTTTTCTTGGAATCGACCGGTGATTCAGTCAAGAGACACCCAATGATATAACTTTATAAGATTTTTAATGCAAGGATCGGCGACAATTGTATCTGAAACTATTTTATTTATCAGGAATAATATATTCCATTATTTCTTAGTTTTATGCAACCTTTACTAAACATATTTAAAATAATAATAACCCTAAGCGAAGCAGCTGATCGCTATTCCCGGGTATTATTTTTTACATGGAACATGTCTGACCAGTCACCGTCAAGGCTCACGCGCACGTGATCACGTGATCGCGATAATTTCATGTTGACATAGAATCGTCAAACAAAAACAAATATGACTTTTAACGAGTCAAAGTATGTCATTTATGATATATGTATCGATTCTCTGTCAACTAAAGTTTGTTTCAAGGCGTCAATAGCGGTATTCTGACCGTGGTTGCTGTTAATAACGGTGAGTTGTGCGATCTTCCGATCGCTTCACACACGATTTCGCCGAAATTAATAAAAACAATATTATAAGGAATTTTGAATAAAATCAATGAAATAAGTTACAAACATAAGTCCAGATATACAAAGAACACTTTTTATAGCCAGACAGTGTAATTACATGATTATTTTGCGTACTTCAGTATGGATTTGTTGACATGGTATTCCCGGTGTTTCATGCTCACGGTAATGTCTTTCCATGGGGAAAAAAAACATCCAAACTCATAATTCGTGTATAATGCGCACCCCCTTCCACACAGCTGTGTTTTTTGGAAAAAAAAGTGCGCACTATACTCAAGAAAATACGGTAATAGGACTAAATAATACTTTTCAGTTTTGTTTTCAATTTGATTTTTTCCAGGTCCATTGATTACATAAGGCAGATAAAAAGTAAATCTTAGCCTACCGGTAAGGGTGTATAGTGGTTGGTTGAACTTCTAGCTCTGTTTGTCATTTCTCCAGAACAACCGCATTCATCATGGGAAGAGGTCAGGGGTCGTCGTGCTGGGAAGTGGGCGTGGCCAGGTAAAGAAGAATGACATCTATGAGAACCGAGAAGCAGGAGTTTACATCTTGTACGGGGGAAACCCCACCGTCTGGTGAGTGAAGGTCAAATCCATTTTTATTCCCCCGGTTTGAAAGATGGAGCGTTAAAAAGATCAGCATGTCTGTCTGAAATTTGCTATACAGATCAGTCTAGTTGTAAACTAGTTTCTTTTGATCATGTTGATGATTTGGGATCTTTATTTTTTATTATTTTTTATATTTATTACTTATCCTGCATTTCACCTTAATGCATTTACTGAGTAGTCATCGGCGTCTCGGGAGGTGTAGGTAGTTGTCTGTCTAGTCATAGGCGTCAGAAGAGACATACAGGAGGCCGTGCTAGTAGGCATAGAGGAAGATGGCAGCATCCAGCCCAAAGAGGACAGCATAACTACGACACTAGGTGTTGCAGGGATCTCTTGGGTCTGTAGGCCTGATAGAAACTAACAGTTTTAGCCCACTAGTCCTTATAATGATAACATATAGCACGGCCCTTAGAAAGGGCAAATGTCTACAAGTACTTAGGATATCTGAACTATTGGGCAGTTTGGCAAGGACTACAGGACTAGTGCCAATTGCACTTCCTCGATAGCTTCAGCAATCTCATTAAAATCAGACCTTAGCTCTCGCTACCGCTAAACAAAGATCTGAAGACATCCCATTAGGGGTCACGTTAGAACGACCTTTCATCCGACCAATGAGAGCGTCGCTTACCAGATCATGAAAGTGACAGTCGGAATGTGATTTCTAATCATACAACCTCGAAAACCTTAACATGGGGTATTTCCGAACGATAGTTACAGGTTTAACGACTGAATCCATACAATCTAGGCCATCTATTAGCCATTCCAGAATGTTCTTTTGTTTAGGTTTCAAATTTGGAATTGAGAATTTGTCCAAATATGTTTCGAAGCGTAGTTGCAAATTTGAAATTAGTGCCATAAAGCACGAGAAAGCTGCCTTCTGATTGGTCATTCTATTGGTCGGTCAAAGTTCGCGCAAGGTCGGTCTGACGTGACCCATAATGGGATGTCCTCAGATCTTTGTTTAGCGGTAGCGAGAACTAAGGTCTGATTTTAATGAGATTGTACCTTCAGGAACTTGGAGAAGGCTGTAGGGGAGAGGAGAAGCTACACTCACAGTCCAGACACAAGGGTTGGGGATCCCTGCCAGAATTGTTACTGTGGCATTAATTACAATGGGGCATAAATCTGCAATCATAATGTGTACAAACAACAATGAGAAAGTGCAGGCAATTTTTAATCCAACCTCGGCGGTTACAGGATAAAGTTACACAGTATAAAAGTGAAAAAACATTATAATTTCCACTAGAGGAGCATAGCTGATACAATATATATAAGAATTACCAAGCAACAATCAAGAATAAAGGTAACAAAACACGAGAACATGACCATGCATGTGGTGAATTCAAAATGGCTAATTGCAACAATACGCTTGATAATTACAGTGAATAGTGGCCACCATCAAGTGCAAAATATTAATGCAACAGCAAAAATACTGGGTAAGACATGAAGTCACAAACCATAGGCACGATATACATCACATGTGAAACATTGAATTGAACAAGCAAAGGTTGCTGGTAGATTGCTGAGTCTTTTATTTCTAACACGACTACAGTCCGTTGGACTCCAAATGAGAACGATGAATTGCAAAATAACTCGAAATCCAGAAAAGTGTATGAAACATCAATACGGTACTTGACCATGAATACCCTGTACCCAACAAAATCTGAATTTTGTTTATTTTAAGACCCATGACGGATGAAGTTCTTTAAGAAACTATCATGTAATTTTGTATAGAAATGTGTACATGACACGTAGGGGGGACAAACCGTGGAAGGCACAGTGCAAGCACGCATGCACTGCACGTTCTGTGGTAGGGGAAAGGACAGAGCGTTAGAGGGGCCGTCTAATGATAATTTCAGTTGCAATCTGACTCGCTCATGCCATAGATCTCTACGTCGGAACTGCTGGTGCCTGAACCGACTGCCACTATTATAGGTGGGACTATTGCTTGCCGTAGTCCATCTCGTGACCAATAACGTGGCTCTATCTTGTCAACGACTGTGGCCACACAACGCCTCCGTGTTTTTACTGTTACCCGACCAAGGGATTCCTTTACGAGTTGTTCAACGTCTCATAATTTGAACGTTGTGTTCGATCGTCCAATGTCACCCTTGACGATGCCCCATACCAACTCGATTGGATTCAGGTCGCAGTGATAAGGTGGCAGTCGTAAGACAGCGTGACCCTGACCCTTGATGCATCTGTCAACTTTATACATGGGGTCAGGTTTCATAGTTTTGATGATTTCATAGAGCTGTAGTTTCGTCGCTTGAGAAGGAAAGGTAATGTTCCTCCTGTGCAGCCAAGTAACCATGTCTCCTTTACGGATATTAGAGGTTGGAGTCTTGCTTTCTGGATCCTGCACACTATGATACGGTGCATTGTCCATGACAATGAGAGACTTGGTAGGCAAAGCAGGGACTAATTTATCTTTCACCCACTCCAGAAATACATTGCCGTTCATTTCTGTGTGGTAGTCCCTGTTGTCTTTGGCCTTGGCTCTAAAGACGAGGTCACAGTCTGGGAGAAAACCCTGACTAGCAGAACCAGCATGGACCAACTATGAGTCTTTCACCCTTTCCCATTGGTAACTTTCTACCAGACTCCTTACAGTCACCACTGGGTACCCACTGACTGCTGGCTGTGTGTGACGCATTTACCCATGTCTCATCTAAGAAGACGGGCTCATATCCTTCTCCACGTTTCTGCTTGATGGTACGAAGGTAATGATTTCGGAGACGAACAATGTCAGACCGTTCACACAACACAGCCCTATTTTCTCCAGTTATCTTTTTGTATTTGTAACCAAATGTATGCAACAGCTGCCATAGTTTATACTTTGTAAGACGTAAATCATGGTCAGTTTCAAGGTGTTTCATCAAAATTCTTAGGGACAGGTACTTATTTTCTGAGTGCAGTTTGACGATTGCACGTCTGACTTGATCCCTCTGAAAACTGTCTAATTTATCAACCTTGCGTGGTTTTGACAAGTTCCCTACCTCCTTGGCCTGACTATTTGTATCTCGTTGACTAACAATATTTTTTAAGTTTCTGAGGGGACATACCAAGAGCTTTTGAAGCTCGTTTCAAGAATTTATTAATTGCATAAAAAGGCTTTGCTCTTTCTGCTTCACTTCTAAAGAAATCATACACATTCAACATCAACTGTTTAACATCTGCTGAGTAGCGCATCTTGTCATTGAATGAACACGGTCACTGTGTAGCACGTGCAGACCGTGCTTGCGCTGTTCCTTCCACGGTTTGTCCCCCTACGTGTCATGTACACATTTCTATACAAAATTACATGATAGTTTCTTAAAGAACTTCATCCGTCATGGGTCTTAAAATAAACAAAATTCAGATTTTGTTGGGTACAGGGTATTCATGGTCAAGTACCGTATTGATGTTTCATACACTTTTCTGGATTTCGAGTTATTTTGCAATTCATCGTTCTCATTTGGAGTCAAACGGACTGTAGTCAGTCTGAGTGACAAGCCGTAATGTGAAGAATCGTGACGTCATCACTTTTGTGGTCCACGTTGCGCCATGCAATGATATTAGCCACCAAACTAGTTGGAACAACTTCTTCTTCAGCTGGATCTGTTACAGCTTTGTCTTTCTGTTAAAAAGTAGCAGTAAATGTATTAAGATGTAATGCAGGATAATTATACAAATGTAAAAAATATTTAGATTTTAATTTTTTGATGATGGCAAGCAGGACCTCTACTGAAAATGAGAGTAGTGCTCATTTCCAGAACTCCAGTTTGAAATAGCCAGACTGAGGTAAATGTACTTTGGCATGTATGTTTCTCCTTAAGATTTTTATGTTGGGGTCATGTGTTCAAGACACGGAATATTTAAAGATTTAAAAAAATATATTAAAAAATGGAAATAAAAACATAACGTGCTGCAGACTTTATAATGATGCGGGCGGTGCCTGAGAACCAAGACTATTATTCTTCTTTGCCAAATATAGCTCTACACTGAAAAGTATGTTTATCACCTTAACAGCTCATGCAATTATTAAGAACAACATGATTTGGTTACATACTAGCTTGAACAAACACCACCCGCCCGCATAATATTTTCAAAAGTTATTGCCTAAGAACCAATTCTTTTAGGTTTTTAAGCCTTATTTGATAGAAATCCTGATCCTGTTCCTCCAGTTGCAGTACAATGATGGTGCCCAATGATGTAATGATGGGTATTTGTTTTCCAGTCAAAACCACATATACGACGGCAAGGCAGCAGGTGTGGCTGTCAATGAGAGTGGGTGTGGCTTCATATTCGGTAAGAATGTGTGAATTGTGCAATACTTTGATCCCTTAAGAGCTTGGGAAATAATCTCTATGAAAAGACAGATCAAGTAAAATATTAAAACAATCATGCTTTTCTCGGTATTTAGATCCTGTTATTTGTTGTACAGATAATGTCATTCGTGGTAACCAGTGGGGTGGTGTTGACATTCGACATGGTGGTGATCCCGTTGTCAGTGGCAACACAATCTCTCATGGTATCGGCGATGGAATCGTCATTGGAGAGCGGGGTCGAGGATCCCTGGAGAACAATGTCATATCTGGTAAGTTCACCGAGTGCAATAGCCAATTGAAACAGATATTTTCAATGAATATGTATCTTTTTGTTACCACTTCAATGATTCAATATTATGATAAAATACGGCGGTCGGGTAGCCTAGTGGTTAAAGCGTTCGCTCGTCACGCCGAAGACCCGGGTTTGATTCCCGACATGGGTACAATGTGTGAAGCCCATTTGTGGTGTCCCCCGTCGTGATATTGCTGGAATATTGCTAAAAGCAGCGTAAAACCTCACTCACTCACTCCAGACACCAGAAATGGGCTTCACACATTGTACCCTGTGTGGAATCGAACCCAGGTCTTCTGTATGACAAGCGAACTCCTTAACCACTAGGCTACCCCACCACTCCCATAAGTCCAGAGAGGTCAGGCTCCCTGACTTGGTTGAAGCATGTCATCAATCCCAATTGCGTGGATCGATGCTCATGATATCAATCACAGGATTGTCTGGTCCAGACACTGCGGTCAGACTGCTGGAATATATCAAACCAAACCAACCAACCAACCAACCATTAGTCTGGAATTGTTGTGTAAAACTATATATAATATTAAAGTGATTTTACTACAAAACCAAGATAAGTTTTATCCAGACATTTGTTTATATTGACTTGTCACTATCAGTATTAACTCATGCCGGTGTCTCACCATATATAGAGCATCATGATATGTATTGTATTGATGTCCGTACACTGGGATGTGTGTTGTATTGATGTCCGTACACTGGGATGTGTGTTGTATTGATGTCCGTACACTGGGATGTGTGTTGTATTGATGTCCGTACACTGGGATGTGTGTTGTATTGATGTCCGTACACTGGGATGTGTGTTGTATTGATGTCCGTACACTGGGATGTGTGTTGTATTGATGTCCGTACACTGGGATGTGTGTTGTATTGATGTCCGTACACTGGGATGTGTGTTGTATTGATGTCCGTACACTGGGATGTGTGTTGTATTGATGTCCGTACACTGGGATGTGTGTTGTATTGATGTCCGTACACTGGGATGTGTGTTGTATTGATGTCCGTACACTGGGATGTGTGTTGTATTGATGTCCGTACACTGGGATGTGTGTTGTATTGATGTCAGTACACTGGGATGTGTGTTGTATTGATGTCCGTACACTGGGATGTGTGTTGTATTGATGTCAGTACACTGGGATGTGTGTTGTATTGATGTCCGTACACTGGGATGTGTGTTGTATTGATGTCCGTACACTGGGATGTGTGTTGTATTGATGTCCGTTCACTGGGATGTGTGTTGTATTGATGTCAGTACACTGGGATGTGTGTTGTATTGATGTCAGTACACTGGGATGTGTGTTGTATTGATGTCCGTACACTGGGATGTGTGTTGTATTGATGTCAGTACACTGGGATGTGTGTTGTATTGATGTCCGTACACTGGGATGTGTGTTGTATTGATGTCCGTACACTGGGATGTGTGTTGTATTGATGTCCGTACACTGGGATGTGTGTTGTATTGATGTCCGTACACTGGGATGTGTGTTGTATTGATGTCCGTACACTGGGATGTGTGTTGTATTGATGTCCGTACACTGGGATGTGTGTTGTATTGATGTCCGTACACTGGGATGTGTGTTGTATTGATGTCCGTACACTGGGATGTGTGTTGTATTGATGTCCGTACACTGGGATGTGTGTTGTATTGATGTCCGTACACTGGGATGTGTGTTGTATTGATGTCCATACACTGGGATGTGTGTTGTATTGATGTCCGTACACTGGGATGTGTGTTGTATTGATGTCCGTACACTGGGATGTGTGTTGTATTGATGTCCGTACACTGGGATGTGTATTGTATTGATGTCCGTACACTGGGATGTGTGTTGTATTGATGTCAGTACACTGGGATCTGTGTTGTATTGATGTCCGTACACTGGGATGTGTGTTGTATTGATGTCCGTACACTGGGATGTGTGTTGTATTGATGTCCGTACACTGGGATGTGTGTTGTATTGATGTCAGTACACTGGGATGTGTGTTGTATTGATGTCCGTACACTGGGATGTGTGTTGTATTGATGTCCGTACACTGGGATGAGTGTTGTATTGATGTCCGTACACTGGGATGTGTGTTGTATTGATGTCCGTACACTGGGATGTGTGTTGTATTGATGTCCGTACACTGGGATGTGTGTTGTATTGATGTCCGTACACTGGGATGTGTGTTGTATTGATGTCCGTACACTGGGATGTGTGTTGTATTGATGTCCGTACACTGGGATGTGTGTTGTATTGATGTCCGTACACTGGGATGTGTGTTGTATTGATGTCCGTACACTGGGATGTGTGTTGTATTGATGTCCGTACACTGGGATGTGTGTTGTATTGATGTCCGTACACTGGGATGTGTGTTGTATTGATGTCCGTACACTGGGATATGTATTGTATTGATGTCCGTACACTGGGATGTGTGTTGTATTGATGTCAGTACACTGGGATGTGTGTTGTATTGATGTCCGTACACTGGGATGTGTGTTGTATTGATGTCCGTACACTGGGATGTGTGTTGTATTGATGTCCGTACACTGGGATGTGTGTTGTATTGATGTCCGTACACTGGGATGTGTGTTGTATTGATGTCCGTACACTGGGATGTGTGTTGTATTGATGTCCGTACACTGGGATGTGTGTTGTATTGATGGATGCTCTCATTTCATCTGTCGTACATTTTTCAGGTTCTGGAATAGTGCAGTACTTTACAGAATCATATAATGAGATTATTTCTTGTTGTCAAGGTAATGCTGGATGTGGAATTTGGATTATGAGTGCCTCACAACCATTTCTCCATGGCAACCAAATAAACAACAACGGTGATTCAGGGATTATGTTTGTCAACAAGACTGTAAGTGGATATTCATTTGCATGCCCAGGTAGAAGAGTACTCTTTTAAAATCTTTCCCCAATATCAGTTCCATACATTTGAAATGCGATACTTAATACGATAGTGTGAAAACATACAAACATGAATCTGTTCTTATATTTGTTGTCTGTGGCAAACTGGCATCATGTTTTGACAGATTTGAGGGGAAATTGATGGAGGGGATGATTGTGTTCATCACATTTCTCCATCATGGTTCAACAGAGACCAATGCCCAACAAAATTTGTTAACATTTAAAATGTTGTGGCAAATGTAGTGGCATATGTAGTGGCATATGTGGTGGCATATGTGGTGGCATATGTAGTGGCATATGTAGTGGTTCAACAGAGACCAATGCTCAACAAAATTTGTTAACATTTAAAATGTTGTGGCAAATGTGGTGGCATATGTGGTGGCATATGTTGAGGCATATGTAGTGGCAAATGTAGTGACATATGTGGTGGCATATGTAGTGGCATATGTAGTGGCATATGGTTCTGCTCTGTGCACACAGCGAACAGGACACAGGACACAGATCAGGTGAAGTTAAGCAATGGTGGTCATGGAGAGTAGTTGGATGGGTGACCACGCTTGGCACCTTGACCCCTGATAGTCTCTACAGAGCTCCAGATAAGCTGCGTATCTGCGTAAAATACGCATAAGAAATGCAGAAATATGCAGTAAAATAAAATCCAAGCGTATCAAATACGCAACGAACATTACAGATACACTACAAAAATAAAACTTGTGCGTATCGTCAAAATATTGTGAAGTAACCCTGCGTATTCGATTAGCAAATCAGCAACTTATTTTGAAATTATAAATGGGCATTCCGTCAACCATGCCAAACTCCACGATGACAGTTACATCATGATCATTTGCCATCACACTTTCTTGTGGAAGTATCATGGTATTTTGGAGTCCTATAAAGCTCTCGAACCCACACAACACCAGTTTGCAGGGACTAGATGAATAGTTTTTTTGAATATTTAACTTTTAACCCACATGTGTAAAAACTAGTGGGTAACAGAAATTTGAATACCCAGATATAATTACTGATACCCAATGATTTTCAAATGCATGGGTAAAATACCCACAACACCAAAAGCTTATCTGGAGCTCTGCTCTAGCACTTTGATCCTGTCCTACACTGAAGCTCAGGTAGCACATGTGGTGTTCCCTAACGCAAGTTGCTTTGTTCAAAATATGCCCCTGTTCTCCCTGTCCTCCCTGTGGGATGAGATCGTAATGTGTAAGTTAACCTTCTAGCCTGACAAGGTCGCTTGAATTGTATTCTCCCCAGGGAGCTGAGAATGAAAATCTAGTGTGCATTGATCCATTATCCGGAGTAATTATGTCAGCGCTTTAAGCATGCACCAAATCTTCGGAGGCTAGTGCAGTTTAAGTACACACATTATTATAAATACATTTCATCACTGGCTTTTTCTCAAACTAAACAAATTTTTAAACTTATCCAATCTCACACTCTGGGTTTCTCTTTACTCTTCAATCCTGGTGTGAACATCTTAGAAGAAATTTTCCAGCTTGAAAAACAACTCACCCCAACACATCCCATACATACAGCTGGAGTGTGGTGTTAAACAACAAGCAAACAAAACAAACAAACAAACAAACGAACATCCCATACATCACTCCCATCACCACTGTGATCCTAGGTCACGCACCACTGCAGTCACGGCTATGCAACCCCTTGCGATCACGTGACATTCCCTGCCCTCTCATTCTCTTTTTGCCTGGTGGAGAGGACGTACATGTACAGAGAATACATTTTGTTTGTTTCCTTGGAGCTATGTTTTCTTAAGTTATATACTACGAAACGAGTCAATCTAGCTGTCACACCTTCTCTGCAAGGACGGTAATATTGTCCATATGACCCCCATTCCGTATGTTGTGATTAGGGTTGCGACCGGGTACGAAAACTGAACTCGAGTACCCGGCAGACAATACCCGAACTGGACTCGAGTACTCGTAGTTCAATGTTGTCCCACTTGTTTGTAATGCTTTTGCGAATAAAAGGTCATCAAACATCTATTGATCTATTCTAAGGTATTAATCATTGGCTTAAGATTATACAATCCAAACGCCCCTTGCGTTAAAGTTGATTGTTTCTTGGCTTTCGTGCTGTCGCTGCCGGCAAGAGAAATGCTCTTGTGTTTAAAACTTAGATGCTTTTTCATGGAACTCGTCGAACTACCTGCGTAGCTGATACATATGCCACAGAGACGGCATTTCGTCTTTTTCTTTGTGTCATCAACATTTGAACGTTTGTCCGCTTTGTCGTCCATTTTGAAGTGAGTTATGAAAGGCGATTAGAGTTATCTCCCCTGAAAGGGTACTCGAGTCCTGAAAATTGGACTCGAGTCCTAAGCTACCCGACCCGTTATCGGGTACTCGAGTACCCGTCGCAACCCTAGTTGTGATTGTCGCAGAATGTGTTCAACATAATTGTAACAATATGAAATAACATGAAACAACAAATCTGTAAGGTATATTTTGACAGATGATGAGTAGTTGTGAGGTTTATTGTATTTCCTTGGGTTATAGGATGTGCAGCATGTGCCAAATATCCCGGATGGAATGAACATGGCGTCATCCAGGAGTCTGGGGTACGGAGACGGAGAGGAGGGTCCGTCACATCCACGGTGTGATGTCGCCACTGTACAGTACAACAATGTCTATCATAACTCAGGTGGGTTGCACCTCAATGGGGGAAATATTGTCTACTCTCTATTAAAGCATGTCATTTTAAGAAAATAATATTCGGGGACATTTGCCTTTCACATGGAGCTGACAGAATGCTATGTATTTGTTAGGGGTGTCACAACACAGGTACCTCACAATATGATACGTATCTCGATTTTGAGGTCAAGATACGATACGTATCTCGATACAGCAATACTGACCTTTTATGCCTAAATTTAGAAGCAAACTTTTTAATTACATATCAGATTTACAATTATGTGTTCTAATCACTATCAATAGATTATTTTGTAAAATAATGATACTAATAAAAGGTTGATTCTGTTTATTCGAACAAGTATCAGACACTGACAAGTTTTCGTATGTGTCAAATTCAGAAAATATGATGACATTATAATTCGAATAGAAAAATCAATTGATATGGAAACAATTAATACCGATTTCAATAAATTTCGTATCTATATAAATTTCCATGTATCTCATATCGTATCGTATCGTGAGAATTATCTACCGATGCATCGGTACAATCTGTGAATCGTGACATCCCTAGTATTTTTCACGTATTGTTATGACTCTTTAGGTCAGATTTTAAACCTCCAAGTCCCATTATATACTGTATATATATATTAAGCTAGTCACAACTTTTTTTATGAGTACTGACCAGTTAATATTGTGAAGTAGTACTTGCATACGACCTTGACCTCAAAGCATGGTGACTGGCATAGGGAGGAGTATTTAGGTATATATAATTTGCTTCTCAATCTTAATAGCCTAAGGGCGGTCGGGTAGCCTAGTGGTTAAAGCGTTAGCTCGTCACGCCGAAGACCCGGGTTCAATTCCCGACATGGGTACAATGTGTGAAGCCCATTTCTGGTGTCCCCCGCCGTAATATTGCTGGAATATTGCTAAAAGCGGCGTAAAACCTCACTCACTCACTTAATAGCCTAAACCATGTGTTTGTGTTCTGTTTTGATAAAACAAGCCCATGGGGGTCTCGGGCTAGGATTGGTCCCCAGCAACTTATGCTGGTCGCAAAAGGCGACCTATCGGATTAGTTGGTCAGGCAAGATGTCTTGGTTGATAACATGTAAACTATCCAGACCCATGTATCGTTGTTCAAAATATGAATCACTAGATTGTCTGGTTCAGACTCAATTATTTATATTTACAGGCTGCCATCATATATACTGAGTGCAGGGTTAAACAACAAAAAATATGAGAAACTTGTCTGCGTGTGATAGTCAGGTTAAGCTGGTTTGTTAGATGTGTGTACTGGGGGTGTCCTACCTGTAAATACCTGTAATATTACACCTGATGACTGTCCAGGTAAGGGGATAGTGATACAGATGGGGGATGCCGTCCACGTCCACTTCAACGCTGTGTACGCCAACCTCTCCGATGGCATCACAGTTAACCAAGACTCTGCTGTCGTCCTGAAGAGCAACAGCATCACCAACAATTCTGGGACGGGCATCATCAGTGTTTCTCCTAGCAGTGAGAACCAATCGGTAAGAGTAGCAAAGTATTTGACCTTATTTCACCTGACCTCTGCCCAGAGAGGGGAAGGTCCGGGGTTCGATCCCCGGCCGCGTCATACCAAAAGTGGTTAAAAGATGGTACTTGTTGTTACCCTGTTTGGCACTCGGCATTTAGGGGATAAAACTGGTTGACTCAGAGTCAGTATACTGTGTCTGAGTGGGGTATTCATGTTAAACTGCGGCATGGTATCTCAGTGGGCTAGCACTATAAATCGACATCAGTTCGGAATAGTACAAGCAGCCACACACACACGTGCGTGCACGTCGCTATATAAGTGCAATAATCTTGGACGCAACGTTGAACCTCATTTCACCTCACCTCACCATCCTTGAATGAGGGATGGTGGGGTCGCCAAGTGGATCAAGCGTTGGCTAGTCACGTCAAACACTCGGGTTTGATTCCGGTTGTTAAACGCCACTTGTTTTAGACTTAACCCAGATTTAAAGATAAGGCTAAAATGAATACAAAAATCCTGATGTAATATTTTTTCAGAAAGTCTTACCAATATTTGAACAAGAGCTATTTATCTTTGGAGAATATATGGCCAAAAATTGTCTAACATTTCCAGGGGGCGGTCGGGTAGCCTAGTGGTTAAAGCGTTTCCTCGTCAGGCCGAAGCCCATTTCTGGTGTCCCCTGCCGTGACATTGCTGGAATATTGCTAAAAGCGGTGTAAAACCATACTCACTCACTCACTAACATTTCCAGTGGACCAAAACAGTCCATTTCATACTCATCCTTTGAAATTCTTCATTCCTAGAAGTCACAATTGTCCCAGAGTAAGACCCTCCACTGTATGTCCGGCTTAAAATGAATGTCTTTGTTTATAGATTCATATCCATGGCAATGGTGTCTATGGCAACCGTGACCATGGGATCGTGTGTCGTTGTTGTAGTCACATCTCTCAGAATGATGTAGTTGGAAACCTCAACGGCGCCATCAGCCTTGATGGCAATGCATTGGTCACAGTGAGTAAATGTCTTTGATTCTTTGATTGTTAGTTGTTGAATGCAGCACTAAGCAATATTCCAGCTATATGACAGAGGTCTGTAAATATTAGGGTCTGGACCAAACAATCCAGTGATTGACATCATGAGCATCAATCCAAGAACTTGGGATATAAAGGCACACTAGTAACCACGTCATTGAGCCTGAGCACCACTTATGACAAGCACAGGGTGCTGGGGACCTATTCTAACCAGGAATCATGTTAACTGTTATCTTTACAAGGGTGTGAGCCATGGTGATTCCAGGATAGAATTTGTGCTCATGAACATATGCTTGTCGTAATTGACCAGGTGGTCAGGCCCAGTTTGGTTGAGTATGGGTATGGGAATGGGAAGTGCTCATGATATCAACCACTGGTTTGTCTGGCATGGAAAGTTACTATTACCAGGCCGTAATGACAGCTGGATTATTGTTGACTGCAGCTTAAGACAACATGGCACCATGAGCCTCGATGCATTGGTCTTTGGAAAATGTTTGGATCTTTTCTCACAATTTTGCCATGAATATACACCTTTGTTAATGGCTGCACTGCTATGTTAACACCTTCAGAATTTAAGTGTGCCAACTAGGAGGTTTCAAAGAAAAAAGAAAAAATTAATAATCTCTTCATTGAGTTTGTTAATATATTCCTAATTTTCCATGCGTTTGTCCAGTTTACTTGTGCTGAGTCCATTTCTCACTGGCGTTGAACATCGCTCATGTTGTCCAGCACAACAAATGAAGATGGGCTAGACTAACATCTAGTCTCTGAAATGAACATATCGTAAAGAAAAAACAGTTGTTCAGTTATCTTAATAAAAATATAATGAAAGGGAGCCCAGTCACTCTCTTCATTTTCAGAGACCCTGATACTGCAGTAATCTAGACTTGCCAAACATTATAGACTTGCATGGGCTGTATTTGATATATATTTGTACCAGGGTCTGTAAGACAGACTAAAGGTGGGCTAGCATTAGGTTTAAATGTTGGCTCATCTCCCAGAAACCCAGGTTTGATTCCTGATGTGTGTGCAACATGTGGAGCCCATTATTGATGCCACTGCAAAGGGCTGGGACGAGTTCAAATTTCCACCCGGGGACCCACATCCCCATTACCTGACCCTACCCGGGTACCCACACCCCCAGTACCTGACCCTACCCGGGTACCCACACCCCCATTACCTGACCCTACCCGGGTACCCACACCCCCAGTACCTGACCCTACCCGGGTACCCACACCCCCATTACCTGACCCTACCCTGGTACCCACACCCCCAGTACCTGACCCTACCCGGGTACCCACACCCCCATTACCTGACCCTACCCAGGTACCCACACCCCCATTACCTGACCCTACCCGGGTACCCACACCCCCATTACCTGACCCTACCCAGGTACCCACACCCCCATTACCTGACCCTACCCGGGTACCCACACCCCCAGTACCTGACCCTACCCGGGTACCCACACCCCCATTACCTGACACTACCCACATACCCACACCCCCATTACCTGACCCTACCAAGGTACCCACACCCCCATTACCTGACCCTACCCAGGTACCCACACCCCCATTACCTGACCCTACCCGGGTACCCACACCCCCATTACCTGACCCTACCCAGGTACCCACACCCCCAGTACCTGACCCTACCCAGGTACCCACACCCCCAGTACCTGACCCTACCCGGGTACCCACACCCCCATTACCTGACCCTACCCGGGTACCCACACCCCCATTACCTGACACTACCCACATACCCACACCCCCATTACCTGACCCTACCCGGGTACCCACACCCCCATTACCTGACCCTACCCAGGTACCCACACCCCCATTACCTGACCCTACCCAGGTACCCACACCCCCATTACCTGACCCTACCCGGGTACCCGTTGTTGGTCTCAAGAAATAGGTACAAAATGTGCAATTGGAAATAGTTTGACTGTACCCCTGGAAAAATGTATTTAGATGTACACGTCTTAATTAAACGATCTGGTCATGCAAACACTGAAGTTGACAGAAGTTTTATCTTTATTCAAACATATAAAAGTCAGAAGGAATATGTGCATAGTCAGAAAGAAATGCAAACATTAGTGACTTGTATGTAACCATGGAGTTCTGGATCATTTTTGTTGAGACTAACCACGGGTCCAGGTAGTCCTGTGGTTACCCGTGTCTTACTCAGTACCCACCCGACCCAAGTACCCGAGTTACCCGTCCCAGCCCTACACTGCAACTATATGTGTCCCTGCAGGTTGTTTTCAGGCCACCATTAATATACATGTAGCTTGAAAATTGGTGACTGGCATTAAACAACGTTCATTGCCTCGTATCAAAGCCCTCTCCTTGAAGTAGTTGTGTCCTGCAGGTTGTTGAGAACCGGCTTCAGTGCCCCAATGGTCCGTGTATGAAGGTGGTGGGTGTGGCCCAGGGTGTGGTGGAGAACAACACCGTGTACGAGGAGGACAAGGAAACGTGGATCCGCCACGACGCCTTCAGTGAGAGACTGGTCCTGGAGAACCATGTACAGAGGCAAGGGACAGAGAGGTAAGTGTCTGTACACACTCTTTGTATAGTACAGTGTGGATGTCACAATGGGCTGCAAAGCACTGTGATGCCATTCACTGTAGCAATCTATTATTGGTTTGGTTGGTTGGTTTGTTGTTTAACGCCGCACTTAGCAATATTCCAGCGATATGACGACGGTCTGTAAATAATCAAGTCTGGACCAGACAATCCAGTGATTAATATCATGAGCATCAATCCACGCAATTGGGATACGATGACATGCATCAACCAAGTCAGCGAGCCTGATCACCCGATCCCGTTAGTCACCTCTTACGACAAGCATAGTCGATTTTTACGGCAATCTGTCAAGGAGATATTGCTTCTTCTCACCCCAGCGGTATTTCTCCTGTGGAAGCCAGTTTTGGGTGCTAGAGAAACTTACTCTCATGTCTTTTGATATCAGTTATCCCCACTCGTAGACACAATTGTAAACCTTGGAGGCTTTCCTGTCAGTTTCAACCTCTATCGACCAGTGTTGATATATTTAATATGTTTAATATGTTTAATATCAAAAGACATGAGGGTCAAATTCTGTTTTTTATCCCAAATCATTCTTCCAACTTTCTACTTGTCAGAAAGATTGCACCAAGCAGTCTGTCCCAGATTGGATTATTAACATGCCTCCATGATATACCTTGAATATTGCTGTAGCGTAAAATAACATTCACTCTCTGATTCCTCCGATTTCGTGCATGTAGACAAAGCATTTCCAGTAATTGTCTGAACAATACTGAAGTTATTTAATCTCTCCAGTGTTTTATAGATCTTATCGCTTTTATTTCAGCATCAAATCTATAATGCCTACAAAACACAGAAATGCAACAGACTATTTATTGTGATGATCGGGTAACAGATACATACATACATACAGCACATAAATGAACACAATATCAATTTGGCGTTAAGGGGATTTTCCTTTACTATCACACCTGCTTACAGCTGTAGACTCAGTGTGGTGATTGAGCATCAGTCCCCCCCAAGCATTGGGGTGATATGACGGCATGTGAGGGAGCACCTGCATACAGCTGTAGACTCAGTGTGGTGATTGAGCATCAGTCCCCCCAAAGCATTGGGGTGATATGACGGTATGTGAGGGAGCACCTGCATACAGCTGTAGACTCAGTGTGGTGATTGAGCATCAGTCCCCCCCAAGCATTGGGGTGATATGACGGTATGTGAGGGAGCACCTGCATACAGCTGTAGACTCAGTGTGGTGATTGAGCATCAGTCATGCCCAAGCATTGGGGTGATATGACGGTATGTGAGGGAGCACCTGTATACAGCTGTAGACTCAGTGTGGTGATTGAGCATCAGTCATGCCCAAGCATTGGGGTGGTATGACGGTATGTGAGGGATTGCATACAGCTGTAGACTCAGTGTGGTGATTGAGCATCAATACCCTCCAAGCATTGGGACACACTGGCATTGAAGGACACTGCAGTTATACTATAACTGTTCTCGTATTTAGCCTGAAACATTGTATTACCAGATAGTGTGGTAAAATCCAATATTACCCACTGTTATGACTGATGGAGGATAATGAATGCCCACAATGAACAGTTATGACAGTAACTGAGAATCAAGCAGTCTGACCCAGATTGGATTATTAACATGCCTCCATGATATAGCTTGAATATTGCTGTGGCGTAAAATAACATCCACTCTCTGATTCCTCTGATTTCGTGCATTTCCAGTAATTGTCTGAACAACACTGGTGTTATTAAATCTTGCAAGTGTTTTGAGATCTCATCTATTACTTTAAAAGTAAGATTTCATTTCTTTTATTTCCGCAGCAAATCAACATTCAACAAAACTGAGTTCCTGAGATCACCTGCTCCCCGACCTGTGATTGACCCCCCTCCTCCTCCGTCTGTCATCCCAGCTCACAATGTTAGCTCCATCAGTAAAGTCACAGTGCCCTCTGGTGAAGGATGTGAACAAGGGAGCAAACTCTGCTCGATATTGTAGCCATGATGATATTGTACAGTTGATAAGTGTTTCATGATGACTAGTATTTACTGATAATATATTCAGGGTAATATGTTTGTGAAGGCAACGCTAACCACTGCACTATAGGTGCGTAACTGTGATACGTTGGGATAGAATAGCTCACCTGGTCCATCAAGTGAAATTGTTCCACTTGGTCTTGTCCCTTATTTGTCTATGCACAGAATCTAAGGATGTTAATATAGAGCATGTGACATTAACAAAAGTCTTACATAAAGACGGTATCATATCATTTCAAACATGAAACAGATTTATTGTTCATGGTTAATAATATTTTGTTGAGTAATTCTTTATTGTTAATGTGTTACCAAAGTACAAATCGTAATTTGGGTGCATTGACAAATTGTATTTTTCATTTGTATCTATCTCACTTCTGCCATCTTGGATGGAAAACAAGGCGTGTAGTGCCTAGCTCCATACATGGAAATTTCAGTTGTAAAATTATTTCCTATATGTTAAATACAGAAGATATTTTTCATATAATGCTAAAGTACAACAAGATTCTGCCTGCAGTACACCACTATTTGCATTTTGCTGTCAAGAACCTGGCAGCCATCTTGGTCTGTTGACATACTTGTTACACTTTGGTTCACAGTGACATAAGAATATAGTTAACTTGCCTTCTGACATAATTCTGCATGTTCTTTCTTCAACATTGATCAGACTATCAAACTCATAATACTCATAACCCTTTAAATATATAAAAATGATTAATTCATAAAGTTACTATTCCTTGGTTGATGGATGTCATCGTGACAAAACGACTAGGCTCGCTTGATAAATTATGTCAATGAGAGAAATGACGACAGCATTATATTTGGCATTGATAATGTAAGCTGTGGCATACTTATGATGAAAGTTGCCATGATGGTATCGAGATTGTTAATATACACCATTTGTCCCACTTCTGTGCCTTGTTGAGAATGCGATGTTTCCCATGTAGATTTCAACTTACCGGTATGCACTCCAAGCCTCGCATTCAAACCTGAAATGGCGAATTGTGAAAAAGGTCAGTCGGGATACGATGAGTTAACTGTTTTGTCTTTGTATTTTAAAGACTCAACCACAACATAAGAACACAAAGTGGATTAGGATTACGGTAGAAAAAACATTGCGTTATAAGGCCACAATAAATTAATCATCAGAATGCATCCAATATTTCCAAAAATGTGAGGCGGATGCATTTGTTTTTTACACATATTATTTATTTTAAAGTTCAGGCATCTGTGTATGTTGAATGTGGACAGTTCACATGAAGCATGAATCGTGGTTAGTTACTAGGGGGACGTAACAGGAGGAGGGGTGGGTTGGGAGGACATTCTGAGGATATATTTATTATGGCCTAAAATAACCAGGAATTTCTCTTAGTTTGTCATATTGTTTTAAAAAGAATGAATTTGATACTGGCTGATTATATGGCATGTCAATGTACATATACAAACTTGTGAAGCCCATTTCTGGTGTCCCCCGCCGTGATATTGCTGGAATATTGCTAAAAGCGGCGTAAAACCATACTCACTCTCACTCACTCACTCACATGTACAAACTCCACAGAATTAATACCATCTCTGAAATGTAATGTTAGAACTTTAAAAATTTGGTGCAGTTGGGATTCATATTATTTTTTAAGTTTTTAATATTACCGTATTCGACGTAATAAGCGCCTAGGGAGCACTCAAAATTAGAATAAGGGGCTCTTTTTGAATATAATTTTGGTGAGAAAACAAACAGAGTTGAAAGATCGTAAATTTCGTGGTTTATGTTGACAGCCTGAAATGATACAAAAGAAAAGTCTGTGCGTATTTTACACGACAGATATATTTTTCCAGAATTGAATTTCCCATAATTAAGGGTGCATATAACACACAAGTGCGTATTATACACAAATAAATAAGTATTGTGTACATTGATCAATCAGAGAGGTGCTAATTGGGATTGTTCACTAGCCAATACATTAGCAAATATCGCAGTCAGCGCTTATTAGAGCGGGGCGCTTATTATGTCGAATACGGTACTTTGCAACCAAAGATGAAAACTGACCATCACACATTATCAGTATCATGTTATATAGCATTACATGACATCATCTTGTACACCATGCAGATACATGTTGTAGTCTGTTGGCACCAATTAGATGCCAAGATAGTCCACACTCAGCTGCTGTATTTCTATTTTTTTCGTTTATGTTTAAGATGATGTTAAGATGAGACACTTGATCTGTGTACATAGCCTACTTTATTACCTACGATGGCAAACATGTCAGGGTTCATAAAAATCATATGAATCCTAGGGTCATATCACATCACGAGACAACAGTGTATTGTTGATGATTCTAATCTTGTGATGTGGGGTCGGAATGACGTCACACTAGGAACAAAGTCAAAGCTGAAGATTGTTCACGTCATTTGACAAATTGTGGTTCCGCTGCTATGCGACTTGCTGTCCTTATAGGTAAACACTCGTCTCTGTATGTAGACATCTAGAACATAATATTCGCGTTCATGTCGTACTATGTTTATGACACTTGTGCTTAAATACCAGTATTTCGCTCGCTTTTGCTCGTGAAATACCGGAATTTAGACACCTATGTCATAAACATAGTATGACATGAACACTCATATAATATCAGGGGCGGTTGGGTAGCCAGTGGTTAAAGTATTCGCTCGTCACGCCGAAGACCTGGGTTCAATTACCGACATGGGTACAATGTGTGAAGCCCATTTCTGGTGTCCCCCGCCGTGATATTGCTGGAATATTGCTAAAAGCGGCGTAAAACCATACTCACTCACTCACTCATATAATATCCTCCATGTATAACTGATTCCGTTTCCTTGTTTAAGAATGCTTGGGCATGCTAGCAATGGTGGCTCATGAGTCCGGTATGAATATGTGTACAAGTCAAGACAACATTATGACTCACTGATATCACTGAAGGCCAAATTAAGTATTGGAGAAAACACGCTTACGAGGTTTTGGTAGACAGAGCATGCCCTGGGGAGAGGGAAAAACCAAGGGGGCGAAGCCAGGGCATGCTCTGTCTACCAAAACCGTGGGAAAGTGTTTTTCCATGCTTATAAACCGAAAAGAGAAACTTAAAACAACATTTATCAACATTTTTATGTTTCGAACATATTTTCCATGAACCTTAGGAAACACGCGTAAAATATCTGTTGCTGGCGTACGGATCTTGAAAAGGACATTCTAAAAACCAGTGAGGCTTATCAACACCTCTGTAGCCTCGTGGTACACTCACTGGTCTACAGATATGAAGGTTGCGAGTTCGATCCTCGGGAATATAAAGAAAACATTTGTCATTTGATTTTACATTTCATAACATGTTACAATCTGAACGGAAGTTACATTAATAAAATACCCAGGACATTATATAAAATCCCTGGGTTATTATAGCAAATATGACTTGAATATCCTATAAAATCCCTGGGATATTATATAAAATTCCAGGGACATTACAACGTGCCTGTTTATGAGATTTAACCCGACTGGAAAGTAAAACCTCACAATAGGTTTTAATGCCTATAGAAGGAGTCTCTTACTTAATAGCTATCCCAATGAATAGGTTTATAAGTACTGATATCATGGTTTGAAAACATGAAACCTCATTCCTCTGAAAATGTTTTTTTTATCTGATTCACAGTTTTTATGAATCAAAATATTTTAAACATTTACAGTCCAAGGTACAACTGTACTAACAGAGCCATCTTTTCTCATGAACCTGTTTTAAATCTTGTTGCTGCATATGAAAGACGTGTTACTGTATTCAGATTCTAGGAAAAGTCTGCCTTTTTGGGATGTCTTACGACGATATACAACATTTGTTGTCTTACATCCATGTCAGAATGGAGACCTAATTGGTCCATGTGATCTAGAACAAGTACTACTGTACTGCCTCGTAGGGGAAATGTATTTCTCAGCTGGAGTGTAAATCCCTTTTACGCCACCATGGTTTATTCTCCCAGCAGTGTTTTTTGTATGACAAACAACGCCCGCTCACTACTTGGCAGTATCGGTTTTTACAAGGGAAAGCATACATTCCACATGTAACATGTATAGTTGTTTAATACACTGTCACTGTCAGGGATGAGATGACTTATATAGACCATGAGTTTACGTTGTTTGACAATTATTGAATTATAATTTTGCTTCAATGTTTTTAGGGAGTGGTCATTTATAATCTGGGGGAATGGAGAGTGTTTATCCATGAGTTTATTGGAACAGACAAATACCAAATTCTGTCGTGTTCTTCATCCGTCCATCATGAACTTTTACCTTCTCAACACCTCAAGGCCTATGAAGCTAAGGAAGCCATATTGAAAATGTCAGGTTTGCCCATTTTTGCTAACCTTGACATGGTGAATTTGAGCTTATAGCTTAGGTCTTTGTCCATCATCCGTCCTGTAGTACTGAAATCTACATATCAATATTGTTTTCATATTTTATGTTCTGCATGTCCTGGCTGAAACAAAGTTAACTTTTCATTTTGAAATATTGAAAATGGCCTTTGTTGCAGCTCCTTCTTTACAGTGTATTAAAGTTTTAACATGAAAGGAAGCTGATGGAAATAGCGTCTTTGTGGTTATCTGAATATCCCAGTTTGATTACCGCACGTTCACAGCAGCTGTAGGGTTCATACTTTACCATGTTTCAGAATCCCATTACCGTATTTGACGTAATAAGCGCCCAGGGCCCTCTCCAAATTAGAAATAGGGGGCTCTTATAAGAATACTATTTTGGTGGAAAAAAACAGAGATGAAAGATAAATTTCGTGGTTTATGCTGACAGCCTGAAATGTTTATGTATGACAGATATATTTTTCCAGAATTTAATTGCCCTTAATTAAGGGTGCATATAACACACGGATGCGTATTATACGCGAATAAATAAGTCTTGTGTACATTGATCAATCGGAAGGTGTGCTAATTGGGATTGTTCACTAGCCAATATGTTAGCAATTATCGTCGTGGGCGCTTATTAGAGCAGGGCGCTTATTACGTCGAATACGGTATATGCTTAGCTGATCATTGCTGTAGGGCTGGGACGAGTCCAAATTTACTACATGTACCTGGGTACCCGACCCCCTATTACCTGACCCTACCCAGGTACCAGCTGTATAGGTCTCAAGAGCTGGATACAAAATGTCAGATTGGGAATAGTTTGACCGTAGCCCTGGCCTGTGCAATGTATTTAGATACACGTATGAAACGATCTGGTCATGAATACACTGGAGTTGACCGAAGTTTTATCTTTATTCAAATCTATTAAGGTCAGAAGTAATGGGTGCATAGTCAGAAAGAAATGCGAACATTAGTGACTTGTAGGGTAACCGTAGAGTAATTTTTGTCATTAAACAATATATCACGTGACAAACCACGGGTCCAGGTTGTCCAGTGGGTACCCGGGTCCTTCTCAGTACCCACCTGAACCGAGTACCTGAGTTACCTGTCCCCCCCTACATTGTTGTGTATAATTTGTTGAGTTTGAAGGTAAAGGTCACCTTGTGTATTTAAAGTAAACATTCAAACTTCCTATGATCCTATTAGTGAGTGAGTGAGTTGGGTTTAACGCCGCTTTTAACAGTATTCCAGTTATATCACGGCGTGTCAGCTTATTGTGGGAGGAAAGCCCGAAGTGATGCAGGTCTCTGACGTTTACCACTTCGGTGAAACCCACGAGCACGGGTATGGTGCTGACAAACCTAGAAACATAATCGGGGCGAACCGTATGATCCTATTAACGTGAGGTCTTAAGATATTCCGCTACCTTGACATGGTCTCCAGTTGAACAGGTTTTTGTTTCCCTTGTGAAATGTCAAGGTCACCAGAATTCAAAATGCCAATCATCAGAGAAAATAACCCCATGAACGTCTGTGTGCATTGCATTGTTTATGAAAGCAAATTATTAATTTTTGTTTGTATGAGTTTCAATTAAATACACATATTTGTATTTTTTAAAATGATTGATATGAATTAAATATTAAAAAGGGAAGAAACTATTTCACTGATGGTAGGTTGGTACCTGTACAATGACCAAACCTCTTTTTTTCCCTCTTGGACATGATATTAGGCATCAACTTGACCGGTAATATTGTCACAGAAACACCCATCCACGTCATACCAAAAAGATGTAAAAAGATGGTACATGTTCCTCCCCTGCCTGGTGCTCGGCAGTAAGGGGCTAAAACAAGGAGTTTTGTTGTTGTTGTTTGTTTGTTGTTTAACGCCACACTCAGCAATATTCCAGCTGTATGACGGCAGTCTGTAAATAATTGGGTCTGGACCAGACAATTCAGTGATGATATCATGAGCATTGATCCACGCAATTGGGACACAATGACATGCATCAACCAAGTCAGCAAGCCTGACCACCTGATACCGTTAGTCGCCAATTACATCAAGTAATAAAAGTGCCAAAATCTTGAATGCAACGTTAAACCCCATTTCACCTCACCTCACAGCCACTTCTCTCAGCCTCTGTTTATATAGCTAAGATTCCTGCCTGTGATTGATTTATGATATATTATCAACCTGTTGTTTTGAAACCATGGCAACCAGCAGTTCATCAAATCATCATGTGTGTATCTATTGGGTATTGCAGGCTGTTTTAGGTTTGCAGATTCTTGTTCACCTTTCCGTTAGTAGCTTTGGACCTAACTTAATATACCAGAAAATATAGGTGAGCTACAGAGCCTTGTGGACTTAATTTAATTTAATGCCCCT